TACTATTATTTTATTTATTATTTTGTTTTCATATTATACTTTTTTCTTGATCTTTTTTTTACTTTTTATTCTCAAGTCATTATCTCTTTTTTTTACTTTCTTTTTTTTTGTTTATTTATATTTTCTTTATTTAATCATTCTTTTTGTTTTTTTTTGCTTTTTAGTTATATATTTTATTTATTGCTTTGTTTTTTCACATCATTTTTTTTATATTTCTTTTTTCTTTTTATAAATTTTTTTTGTTTCTTTTTGCTTTGTTTTCTGCTTAAATTATCTTTTTTCTCATTTATTTTTTGTTTTGTTTATCATTATAAATATTTTTTTATTTTGTTTCTTTTTATTAAATGTCTCTCACAAAATTATTGTGCTTAATTACAAGAAATGAATTAATTCTAAATTTGTCATCTTTAACTTTTATATTAAGAAAATATCTGTCTATAATATAAAATATGAAATTCTCAAAGAAATATATAATTTTTTTTTAATATAACAAATACTTGTTAAAGAAGCTTCTGTAATAATGAATAAACTGATAAAGAGCAAGTATATATTAGAACTAACTTTAATTAATTGTGATTATTTATTTTGCAATCAATATATATTATTATACAAATATATCTTTTACAAATATATATATATAATAATTCCAGATTATTAATTGTTATAATTTGAAGAATATTTCAAGAAATATTTGAAGAAAATAATTTTAAAATATATAATAAATGATATTATAATTCAAATATTCTATAATATAGTTATTTTATTAATATTTAATTATTTTTATTATATTTAATATTTTTAATAATTAAATTTATTTAATTTAATTATTTATTATTTATTATTTAATTTATTATATTCTTATTAGATAAATTTAAAATTATATAACTTTTATATATAATATGTAATTTTAACATGTAATTTTACATGTGACTTGTACATATAATTTTATAGATAATTTATTATTTATTATTTATTTATGAATATTATAATATTATAATATAGTCACATTCAAATTTTAGAATTAATTTAACTTATATAGTAAGAATTACAAATTAAATAATAAGAAAAAAGCTATCAAAAAATCTAATAATTAGATGATTATAATGTAACTAGTCACCTAAACAATGTCTGCAACTACAGTAATAGTTATAAGTATCTGAATATCTCTAATTTTTATAGATCATGTATATTATTCTAAAAATTTCTGAAAACAAAAAATAATATAAATGCTAATCATCTACTTTTTTTAAAGTTGGTAGAACTTTTATATTGTATATTTTATGTTTATTAAAATTTCACATTACAAATTTTAAAATATATATTTCAATATCTAATAATCTAATTATTAATATTCAGTAATTAAATTCAAACAAAAATAATATCATTTAATTTGTCTAGTTAAGATAAATAAAATAGTAGTATTTTATTTAAATTCAATTAATAGATATCAAGTTATTATGTTAAATTTATTTTTTTGATGTTAACAAAAAAAAGTGATCACTTTTAAGATATAAGATCTGATGTTTAGTGATCAAATTTGAGCAAAAATATTATTATTTGACTTATTTAGTTGAGATGAATCAAATAGTAATATTTGTATTCAAATTTGATTATTAAATATCAAGATATTACTTCCTAAAGAGACTATTTCATTTTTTAATGGTCATTTTTTAACCAAAATTAATTGTCAAAAAATGAAATAGTTCCTTTAGAATATAATATCTTGATATCTAGTGATCAAATTTGAACTCAAATATTATTATTTAATTTATCTTAACTAAATAAGTTAAATAATAGTATTTTCACTCAAATTTAATCACTAAACATCAAGATCTTATATTCTAAAGTGACTATTTCATTATATTTAAAGCATGAAAATTTATGAATATAAAACATCCTCGATGTAGAAATTATATCAACTTTAAAAAATATAAATGAATAGCATTTGTGTTATTTTTTGTTTTCAGAATTTTTAGAATAATATACATAATTTATAAAAAGTTAAGAGTATTCAGATACTTATAAATGCTATTGCATAAAGAACTAATATAATTAATGAATAAATTATTATCTATTATCATAAGATAAGTTGATAATATTAAGTTATGAGCAAGTTTTTCATTAAGCTAATAATTATTAATATGATCAGAGAAAAATTTGCAAGAACAAAGATTAGGTTTTATATGAATAAAGAAAATATTTTTGTATAAGATTATTGTGATAGAATTGAAAGAATAATTTGATTATAGAGAAATTTAACTATATTTTCAATTTTTGGTGAAGAAAAATTAACAAGAATCAATAATAATACTATCTCTATTCATCTAGCAGAATGAAAACAAAATAATAAGATATGAGATATATATAATGAACTCTTCAAAAATAATTAAATACTATCAAAGATTGATTATATAATCTTTAAACAATATAAGAGAAAATACTACCAGTTATTCATTGCATGTTCATATTAGTAATGAGTGATATTTTTCTGAATTTAACCAGTCCTGACATAAAATGCAAAAACAAATTAGTAGCTAGACATATATATGTATTTATGATAAATATTCTTATAACTTTATTTAAAATTTGATTGAAAATTCTTCACAGATATTTGTTATTCAGAGATTAATTGAAAGTAATAAGCCAGTAACTCAGATAATAATGGAGAATATAGCAAAAAAGAGATTGAAGAAAAGGAGGAAGTGACCTGAAGAAAGTGCTAAAAATTATACAAGAAAGTCATTAAAGATGAAGAAGGAGATGAGATGATTATAATTAAAAATGATAATGGTGATGAAAATAATAATTATGATAATTTTGTAAGTTTTTTTAATATAATATTCTTTGCAATTTTTTTCTTTAAAATCTGATAAATAATTATTTTTTTAAAAAAAAAGATCACTAATTTAGATCGCACATATATATAGATATTTATGTAATTTTTTATTATTTTTATTATTAACATTTACAATAAACTATATTTATTATTCTTTAAATATCAAATTTTATTGTTTTGTGAAATTGAATAATGTTATTACAAAGTATTGTTATAAATACTATTACAAAGTTTTATATAGAATTTTTATTTTTTTCTTTACAGATCACTATCAGATTTAAAGATCTTTGAAAAATTTCAGATTCAAAGATCTATGCAGAACTGCGCTTTCTGATATTATCTGATGCAAATAATTTTTTTATTATAAATTGAGTCAAATTGTATGTCAATTAACTTACTATGAAATCTAATAATATATATATTTATATTTATCATTATATAAAATACTGAATATTTAGTTTGAATATCACAAATTATATACTTGGTAAACAAAATTTGCAATCAAAAGTTAATTTTATTAATAAAATATATATTAAAATAAAGTTCATAAGTTATAGTTTAATATATTTTTTTTTCAGATTTTTTCTGAAGAAGTTGTTCTAATAACAAAGTCATTGCAAAAATTTTTTAAAATTTAATTAGAAAAAATTTTTGCAATAAATTTGCTATTAGAACAATTTCTTCAGAAAAAATCTAAAAAATTTGAAAAAAATATATGTTAAATTATAACTTATGAACTTTATTTTAATATAAAAACAAATTTTTTTAATAAAATTATAAATTTAATATACAGAGAAAATTTCAATTTTTATTATATTTTATTAATAAAATTGGCTCTTAATTGTAAATTTTTGTCCACAAAGTGTAGTAAATATATCTAAATATATTGATATAATTTAACTGCAAAGTGTGTATTCTATATCACCAATTGGTATTGGACAATCTAATAAGTATTATATATAAACGAAAGACTTTCACACATAAATAAATCACCGTTTTTTTAATTTCTGATTCGAACAACCTTATTTTTTTTGGAAACTGATCATTAGTTAATGAGTTTAGCCACACGCCGCATGTGCCATTTCTACCTTGGATACATGGGTCTAGTTATAACACGCCACAACTAGCCACAACCAGATCATAATCTGCTATGATTGAAAGATATAACGGATTTATTAGTAAATAACGATAATATTTTTATCTAATATTTTGTCTGTTTATTCGTGTTGATGTATAATGTGATGTGTATATGTATATTACGCACGCGTGCGTAATATGATGATTCGTTTGAAATAAAAGACAAAACTCAACAAGAATAATATACCGAGTTAAATAAAAGTTTGGCGTCCGATAGATAGATAAATACATGAGATAAGGGTGGCAGAGAAAATGCGAAGAATAAAAATACGTAAAGATATAAAATTCGATTACTTGACCAACTGATTCAAATTGCCATTTTGAACGGGTATAACAAGATTTATTTGACCCTTCATATTGTTAACCCACACACACCTTCCACTACCAATTACTGTCATATCCCACAAAGACCCCCGGTCAGGGAGAGGGAAACTCTACTAATAAAGGTCCCAGTAATAAATAGACCCGAGATCTAGTACAAAGATTACTATATATAGCACCCGACCTTACACCAACAAGGGGGAGGGGCCTTATAGTTGGAAAATTACAGTAATTAAAAAAAATAGTTCTCTCAACCTAACTCATTCATTAAGACTTCAACTCCGTCAATAAATTGATTATTAATCAGCGGCAACTGAATGCCATAAATTATACGCTATGCTAATTGAATGAAAGAAGCGATCACGCGATAAAAATTTTGTCAAAAGACAAAAAGAAATGTCTGTTTTATATCAATGATGACAGCATCAATGATGACAACAAGAAAGAGAAGGGTAATTAATAATAATGGGTGGATGAAGAAATATATCTAATGAAAAGGGTATATATATATATTGGTATGTATGTATGTATATATACTATAAAGAAAGGAAATGATTATTTATTTAAAATATTTTACATCTAATTTTTCCCCAAAATCCATGACTAGTATATTTTTATCTTGGCTTGTGCTAAATAGTAATAAAATAACAATAATAATAATTAACAACAATCATATTTAAATGATAAATGAATAACAATTAAACTCTCACCTAACGATTTTTGTTGTGCTAAATTGCACATCAAACACCCAACTCGTATGCCCATCCTTGAAATCTAATAGAGGTTTCCCGCTTTTCAAATCCCACACTTTAACCGACTGATCATAACTACCACTCACAATTTTATCCTCATCGAAATGTAATGTCCTTACTAATTCAGTATGACCAAACAGCGTACGTATACACTTTCCGGTTTCTGCATCCCATATTTTGATAGTTTGATCATTTGAGCCGGATACCACCAATTTCCCGTCGTATTGTACACATGCCAGTCCGCGCGTATGACCAATAAAATCACGAATACATTTACCAGTTTCAGCATCCCATAATTTTATTAGCGCGTCACCAGACGCAGATATAATTTTATTGTCCTTTAATTGAACTGCATTCACTGGTCCACGATGTCCTTTTAGAGTACGTAGACATTCGCCTGTTTCTATATCCCATACTTTGATGGTACTGTCTTTTGAACAAGAGACGATAAACGTCTCATTGAAACAGATATCCAGTACTCCGGCAGTGTGACCTTCAAGTTTTCGTATTGGAACCAGAGAGTGCATATCCCACACGATTACACTCATATCACTTGAACCAGAAACCATTATTGATTCGTTGAATTGAAGACATAAAACCGATGCATCATGCCCAGTTAACGTTCGCAAACAAGCTCCCGTGTTTATATTCCAAAATTTGATTGTTTTATCACGCGAGCCAGTGACAATTTTATTCTCGTCAAATTGTATACAATAAACGCTGTCAGTGTGACCTCGTAAATATCGCTTGTCACATTCACCTTCGTTCCAACGTTTCGCCAATAAATATCGATGTTTGAACATTTTTTTCCAATCGAGATCACCGTATATCACCTCTGGTGGTATTGTGACTTTCCATCTTTGACTCTCCATATACAATCCACGCCATATTTCATTATCACGCACGATACAATACCATGCACGTGAAACTCTAGAAATTCGACACAATGTATTAAAGTTTAAAAATAATAATATACTGGTAGCAACCTCATAGGGAAGACTACACAGAAAATCTATGCAATGAATCAATTAATTAAGAATTAGAGTCCATGATATGAAAATTAAAGGAGTCGAGATGATACTTTATTTTACCTATTCGAAGAATACAATCATCAACAGTGAAAAATCCTTCATCTTCAATTTCTAAACAGCCTACAATTGATTTTGAGGGAGAAGGGAATGCGGATAATTGTCGTCTACTAATTTGTCGATGTCTAGGATCTTCACTGATAACAGATTTGAACATTTTTAAAACTTTTAATTTACCACTTTGAAGAGCAGATATGGGACTTTTCATTATTGTATATCAAGGATCGATACGATTTTAATGAGTAGCAAGGTGGGATGAATTGTATGTAATGAGGTATTTTCTCTTAATAAATTGGTGTTTATATTCGACAGCTAGTTGGTAATTGCCAGTATACCCAGAAATAAAGAGACGTATAATAAAATCACAGATAATATTGTTGTTACTGTGGTTATTATGTATTATTAAAGATAAATATGCTTGAAGAGGGAGGAGGAATGGTTTAAATTCGGGAATTTTGTTATATTGTATTAGAAATGAGGTGATTTAATGGTCAGAACCTGTGACCAAAAAAATAAAGGGTAAGCGAGAAAAGCGAAAGAGGAGAAAAAGGGAATGGTAAAGGTAAAGGTCAAGCGATAGTAATAAAGAATAAATAGTGAAACAATAGAGATGATAAGGGATAAAATATTAATAATAACTATAATATAATAAACTCAAGTGTGTATGTGTGATAAAGAACCACGTTTCTCAAAAGGGAAATTCTTATGTATTTTATGTTATTTGATGTGTAGTCTATTGTGTTCGGCGTACAAATATAAGGTAGCAAATAAACTGCGCAATATCAATTTAACATGCACCAAAGAGAAACAAGCTCTCGCGCGTTTTTCTCCACTTGTTTTTTTTATATTTGGTGCGTGTATTTTTTTTTCACGGTCGATGATTCGGATTAGATTGAACCGAAGTTAACACCAATGAACAATGATAGACAGATGTCGATTGTATTACAAACATACGAACAATGGCGAGGTATGAATGCAACATTATACAGTGCATACAAGCTAAAACCGACCAATCACGTGATCTTGTTTCAATTTTCAAAATTTTCAATCTAAAATTTAAA